TTCTTTCTTTCTTTCTTTCTTTCTTTCTTTCTTTCTTTCTTTCTTTCCTTTGTATCACAAGTACCTAACACAGTGCCTAGTACATAGTCACAGCTTAATGAATGGTTGTTGATTGAATAAGTGACCTGACACCACGTATCATGTATCACACATACATTATATGTCAGAGATGAGATTAAAACCCAGGTTTTCCTGACTCCAAGGCTAGATCTCTATCCACTACGTCACACATGCGAACCTTTATTAATAATAATGACTCACATTTATAAAGCATTTTCGGGTTTCCAAAAGGCTTTTCTCACTTGTGAGGTACAAAGCCAAGTAGTATCATTACTATCTCCATCTTAACAGATGATGCAATTGAAGTACTGAAAAGTTGTGACCTCTTCCCTGGCTAACAAACTAGTACGGGTTCAAACGCAGTTTGAGCTCTCAGACTCTGCTAATCAATCACGTTGTTGTTCAGTTGAGCCTGACTCTCTGTGACCCCATTTGGGGTTTTCTGGGCAGAGATACTGACTGGAGTGGTTTGCCATTTTCTTCTCTCACTCATTTTACATATGAGGCAAATAGGGTTAAATGACTTGCCCAGGGTCACACAGCTAGTAAGTGTCTGAGGCCAGATTTGAACTCAGGAAGATGAGTCTTCCTGACTCCAAGCCCAGCGCTTTGTTTATCCACTGCACCACCCTAGCAACATCATCCCACACTTAAAGTGTTACATAAACATTAGCTAGTGTTCTTTCAATGTAGAACAATGCCTAAAATATACCTGAAGATGAAGTGGTATTTACTAAGTGGTTACTACAGCACACAAATGAAATGCACAAATGAAATGTATAGTCTTGAAAGAAGACACCACCATGTACGCCCTGTCTCCATCCTTCCTCCTCCTTCCCCTCCCCAGTTCTCCTAGCACAAGGGCTATGGAGATAAATGAGACATTTCCATAACCACCCTGTGAGATGAGCCTTTAGGATTTATGGGAAATAGATTTCCCTCCGTCCTGCCAAAACAAAAATAAAGCAAAGCTACTGCAAAAAGTCACCATCCAGAGGTCAATAAATTCTGGAAAGGTGTTATACCTTGGTAGGCAATTGTCTACTCAACAAATGCATTTCCTTTTAATGAAACATTGTGACTTCTACACATGCAGTGTGAGAAGCTAGATAAGACCTTCACAGAATGGCACTCAGATACTAGAGGGGGCTTTATGCCTTTTACTGACCGTTATACCCTTCTAGTAAACTGGACAAGCCTCGTTCCATGCCTGGAAGGCTCTAAGTCTCCTCTACACCTCCTAGCTTCCCTGGTTTCCAAGTCTCAGCTAAAGTTGCACCTCCTGCTAGAGGTCTGAGACCACACCCTAATTTATCCTAATTTATCTGTATCTTGTTTGTACAAAGTTGTCTGCACAATGCCTGGCACATAGACGCTGAATGAATACTAACTAGTTGACGGACTCATTTTCCTTATCTGTAAAATGGGGATGATAATAATACTTGTACTTCCTACCTAACAAAGTTGCTGTGAGGAAAGTGACCATATAAATGTGAGTTATGATCTTAAAGGATTATGGTAAATACATTTTCTTTTCTTGGAAAGCAGAAGTTTACAAAGGCAGAGTGGTTTCTTAAGGTGGAATCCTACTGAAATCGGAGTCAGGAAGACCCTAGGTAACTCACGGCCTCTTTGGACCTCAGTTTTTTCATCTATAAAATAGGGGTGTTAACTAGACAAAGTCTAAGGTCCCTTAGGTGATGACCTTACGGAATGCTAATTTAAGAGTATGGCATTTACTCTTCAGTGTTATCATTCAGCGATAATATTATCACCAAAGACATTTCAAGAAAATACCTATATTCAAAGAAAATTTAGGTGAAAGGACCCTATGCATGTGTGTGTGAGTGTGTGTGTGCGCGCGCGCGCGCGCGTGTGTATGTGTTTCACTGATTTTAAAACAGAAAATCAAGGATCCATTTCACAAATCTACTTATGGAAAGAGTAGAGGGCAGATGATAGGGGCAGGTGCTAAAACAGAAAAAAAAACCCAAAAAACGAAACAAACCCAAAACCTTATCGCTGAAGTGTTTGTGGATCTTAAATGAACAATAAAACGAACTTTTAGCATAGAGATCCCTCGTTTAACCTAAATGAAAAGCAACCACACCCTTCCTAACAAACTCAAATCCATTCTCTGTAATCCGGAGTACAAGGAAATAAAAGAAAAAAAGTATTGAATTTCTGTTACTCACAAGCAGTACAATGCTTAGCATCAAATGACCTTAGGAATACTTAAACACACCCTCTCTTCTCAAATAGATGGGAATTACCTTTGCATTGGCAAATTACCTTTCTTTGCTTTCTAGAGCTTTTATTTTCAGACCCAAGTAAAAGCTAAATTGACTAGCTCTCACCCATGAAAAGAAACCAGGGCTTAGTAAAAATAAATGCTATGTAACAATAACTCACCTTTACATAGCAATTTAATATTAAGATAATAGTACTTGTATAACTCTTTAAAGGATTCCCAAAGCACTTTACATAGGTTATCTCTTTTGACCTTCACAGCAACCCTCTGAGGTAGGCGCTATTATTTCCCCCATTTTACAGATGAAGAAATTGAGGTTGTGGGAGGTCAGATGAGTTACCCAGGTCCCCACAGCTAGTAAGTATTTGACCTCTGTCTTCTTGACTCTTAACTCTAGCACTCTATATCCACAATATCCATCAGTTAATCAGTAAACATTTATTAAACGCCTACTGTGTGTCAGGCACTATGCCCTAAGCTAATACTTCCTAGTTAGTCATTCTAAAAGAAAAAGAGCCACGTACTCCTCCCTCCTCCCATTATTAGAGGCAATTAGGTGGCACAGGGGATAGAGTCCTGCCTTATATACTTCATACCTATGAGTCCCAGAGTGAATCACTTAACTCCTCCCAATCTCTGTTTACTCATCTGTACAATGAGGATAGTAACAGCCCCTACTTGCCAGAGTTGTTGTGAGAATCACAGCATTTGTAAAGCACTTTGTAAACCTTAAAGGGCTATTATTATTATTATTAATCATAATGACCAAATCAAATGACCATAGTGACCCAAGAAATAAATTGAGAAAATAATCCTTCTCTCCCTTCTTTGCAGAAGTGAAGAGCTTTGGGTGTAGAATATTACATATGTTATCAGATGTGGTTGATTTTGCTGAACTGCTTTCTCTTTTTTCTAATCTTTATTAAAAGGGATTGCTTGCTGCTGGGGGAGGGATATATTTGTAAATTAGGGTGATGTTAAAACAAAAAGCATCAATGAAAATCAGATTTTTTTTTTTTAAAGAAAGCTCGGGGCACTGGGCTGGAAACCTGGTTCTTCCCAAGGTTCTTGGGTTCGGGGTCCTGGGCTGTCTCCATCAGGACCTGAGGGGAGCTGGTGGTCATGGTGGTGGTGGTGGTTTGACTGTCTGCCTCCCCCTCAGGGCGCTGCCTCAGGGAGGCTGGCTGCCTGCCCTGTGGGTGTTGGGGGTGTTGGCTGGCAATTGATGGGCGTGTCTGGGACCTTCTCCGAAGGATTTGCTCCCCTGGGTGATGGCTACGAGAGGGCAGGTGGTGTGGCGGGGTCGGCTCCCAGGGCTCCTGTGCTCATCTGCCTGATGCTGGTGGAGAAATTGTTTTCCTGCCTCTGATCAATTTACCCTGCACCAGTTTAAATACACTGTGCTTGGCATATAGTAGGCACTTAATAGGACACTTACTAGCTGTGTGACCTTGGGCAAGTCACTTAACCCTGTTTGCCTCAGTTTCCTCATCTGCAAAATGAGCTGGAGAAGAATGGCAAACCACTCGAGTATCTTTGCCAAGAAAACCCCAAGTGGGGACAGGACTGAACAACAGCAATCTTGTCAATTAAAGGTTGAGAAGTTGAAGTCTTTGTTCTGTCCTAGAAGACATTTTTTGGTAAAGGGGACAAAAGGGTGAATGTTGCTGTCTATTCCAGGTGCAGATGTCTGATGGTGGGCTCTGCCCGCACCTCACTGCTGCCGTCCCTCTGGCTGCCATCTTGTCCCCAGGGACTCCTTCACTGGCCCCTCCCTTTACTTTCCTGCCATCTCCCAGGTAAGAAAGTTCCTGGGCAGACAGGGGGGACTGTGATTTGTAAGCTTCCCTGCCTGAGAGCCTGAGCCTGCTAGGACATGGTCCTTTTTGTCTCTGACCCTGCTCTACTTGGTTCTCAGGTCGCCATTTCATAGGTCAAGTAGGAAGGCACGTATCAGCTACATTAGCCGTGACTCACTCTTGGTACAGCAGAAAGAAGTCTTGGGTTCGAATCATAACTGTCCGTGTCATCTGCCATGTTTGTGACCTTAGGTAAATTACTTAGTCTCTCTGGGCCTCCATTACCTCTAATCTTAGCCAAAAAAATAATGAATACATTTATTGAGTGCTTGCTATATGCAAGGAACCATACTGGTACTAGGAACGCACAAAAAAGAGTGACAACCTGGCCTGTCCCCCAAGATGGTGCTTCTTGAAGGGGATATAACATGTAAACAGGTAAGTATGTACATACATGGCGATTTGAGGAAGAGGGACAGACACTGCCAACCAGGTGGGCAAGGAAAGGTTTACCCTGGAAGATGGCTTGTGAGCTGAGCCTGGAAATGAGGATCAAGTTCAGTCTAGACCCTGGATGAGGAGGGAGTCATTCTAGAAATTATTACCCCCCTTTTACAGATGAGACAACTGAGGCAGTCAGAGGTTAAGTGGTGTGCCCAAGGTCATCCAGCTAGGAAGTGGCTCAGGCAGGATTTGAATTCAGATCATACTGAATCCAGCTCCCAGCACTCTCCTCTATACCATCACCTAGCTGCAATAATCCGAAAAGATAGCCTGCAGCCCCAGTGAGAAGAATTTTAAAGCCTCATGCAGTCTAGTTTGTATTTTCTCTTCGAGAGAAAAAGGGAGCCGCCAAATTCTTGAGGAGAGGAATGACGCGGTCAGGCTTGTGCTTTAGGGAGATTATTTTGGCACCTGGGTTAGGCTGGATTGGAGAGGAGAATCTGGAAATGGAAGCTAGTTAGTCTAGGAGAGAAGAGACGAGCTGGGACAGTGACCGTGAGTGGGGAGAAGGCAGAGAGCGAGAGACGTGGAGAGAGATTCAGTACATCTTGACTGCTGATTGGACGTGAAGATGGAGGCAGAGAAGAATGGGGCACAGCTCCTAGGTTATGAACCTTCAAGCCTCGAAAGATGGTGATGCCCCAGCAGAAAGGGGGAAATGTGGAGCAGGAGGGTGCTTCTGGGCAGGGGGGAGAACAATGAATTCCATTCTGGAAATGGCGAGTGAGATGCTTACAGGACATCCAGGTGGAGGTGTCCTCCAGGCCACTGGGGATTCGGGACAGTCACTCAAGAAAGGCAAGATGGCTCTATCTGTGGGTCTGGGGGTCACCAGTATGGAGATGATAACTGAACTCAGGGGAGATGATTCCAGGGTAATCACAAAGACTCAGGGGAAGAGAGAAAGGGAAATTCAAAGTTCCAGAAGGTCACCTTGTCAGGACATGAAGACCTAGAAAAGAAGAATGAGAAAGATTGGGCAGACAATTAGGAGAATCCAGATGGGGGTGTCCCAAAACCCAGGAAGGCCCCATTCACAATCCGGGAGGACGGGGCCGAATGGGAGAAGGCTCAAGGAAGACGAAGACAGACAAGAAGTCACTGAATGGAGCCATGAAGAGAGCGCCAGTGAGCTTGGAGGGAGCCATTTCAGCGGAGTGGTGAGGCTGAAAGAGGCCACGGAGGCACACGTGCAGAAAGCTTCGGTCTGGTGGTCAGCGAAAAGAAACGGTGCGTAATAGCCTGAAAGGACTGGAAGGACCCAGGGAGGATTTTGTTGTTGTTGAGGTTGGGGAACGTCTGAGCATGCTTGAAAGCAGCAAAGAAGGAGCCGGGAGAGCAAGATAGTGAAGATCAGGGGGGCAGAGGGATGACTGAGGAGGCGAGCTGTTAGAGGAGATGGAAGGGGTTAAGATCAGGGGGGCAGAGGGATGACTGAGGAGGCGAGCTGTTAGAGGAGATGGAAGGGGTTAAGATCAGGGAACCAGGTGGAGAAGAGGACAGAGTCTTCATCAGACACTGGACCAAAGGGGAAAGAATTGAAGGAGAAAACAACGAAGTATCCTGAAACAAGCACTGATGTCAGATCAAATCCCACCTGACGTCAGGATACTTTGCCTTGTGTAAGTGTCAAATTTCTTCAAATGTAAAATGAGCAGGTTGAACTGTTATCTCCAGCCTCCAGTGCCTTTGCGGTGGCTGTTCCCCATGCCTGGAGCACACACACACACACACACACACACACACACACACTCACACACCCTCCTCACATTACCTCTTAGGCTGCCTCGTTTCCTTCAAAACTCAGCTCAAGCATCCCCCTTTTTATTTAATAATATTTTATTTTTTCCAATGATATGTAAACACACTTTTCAACATTCATTTTTTTGACAGATCTTGAGTTCCAAATTTTTCTTCCTCCCTCTCCCTAAGACAGCAAGCAATCTGATGTAGGTTACACATGCACAATCATGTAAAACATATTTCCACATTAGTCATGTTGTGAAAGAAGAAACAGAACAAAAAGAAAAAAAAAACCACCAAAAAAAGTGAAACTAGCATGCTTTGATCTGCATTCTGACTCCATCAGTTCTTTCTCTAAACGTGGAGAGCATTTTCCATCATGAGTCTTTTGGAATTGTTCAAGCATCCCCTTCTGCGTTAATCCTTTCCTGACCCCACCTCCACTCCCCTCCAGTTACTGGAGTCCTTTCCAGACAAATGACCTTGGATTTATTTCTGTTATACTTATGTGTACACCCTTGTAGAGTGTAAACTTTTAGAAGGCCACCATGCTTCATTTTGGTCTTTGTGCCTCGAACATAAGAGGCACCTGAATGCTTCTCGCTTGACTGAGGGATTCTGAATAGTAGACGGAAGAGGGAAGTCACAGGGATGGCTTCTATTTTCTCAGCAAAATAGGAGCTAAAGTGCTCTGCGTGAATGAGGATAAAGGGAGTGATATGGGAGGCTTGAAGAGGGAAAAGACTGTTGGAGGGTGTGTTAGTGAATCAATTAATAAAGGGTCAAGATTTGTGTCAGAGAAAGCCAGTGGGACAGTCAATAATCAAGCATTTATTGAGTGCTTACTATGGGCTAGAATGCCCAAATGAGGTCAAATAACACAGGTGTGGTCGTGACTGCCTCTGGCAACCTTTGTCAAGGGGCAAGTTTCAGTTATTGTATGAGTGCAAACAAGGCAGATGATGGGGGTAACGCAATGCTTGGGTCCCAACCCAACACATGGCTAGGCTAAGAAGATCAACAGCAAAGGTCAGAGGGTAGTTGAAGTGGTTAGGACATGTATGTATGTGTGTATGTGTCTGTGTGTGTACGAATGCATACGTGTATATATATATAGATATATACACACATATATTTACATATAAATATATATACACATACAACTATTTATATATGTGTATATATGCATGTGTGCATATGTATATGTGTGTATGTATATGTGTGTATGTATGAATGTATGTGTGTGTATAAGTACTTATTTATTGTTCATCCTTTATACTCAAAGAGCGCCAATGACATCAGGAGGAAGATGTCTTGAGATATATATCCATATATATCCATACACACATATATGTATATACACACATGCACATACACAATATGCATATATGCACATATACATATATACAATATACCTATATACATATATATTTAATTTTTTTGTTATTCTAAATGTGAAAGATGCTAACATACACAAATCTCCCATATATATAAAGGAATAGGAAAAGAAGATTGTGTGTGAAACTGTGAGTAACTATTTTGTTGTTATTTTTCAGTCATTTTAGTCATGTCTGACTCTTCCTGACCCCATTTGGGGTTTTCTTGGCAGAGATACTGGAGTGGTCTGCCATTTCCTTCTCTAGCTCATTTTACAGATGAGGAAACTGAGGGTTAAGTGACTTGCCCAAGGTCACCCAGCTAGTAAGTGTCAGAGGCTGGATTTGAACTCAGGAAGATAAGTCAGGATTCCTGACTCCAGCCTGGCACTCTATTGACTGTGGAATAATAATAATAATAATAATAATTGTATCTAGATTGCATTTTAAGGTTTGCAAAGCAATGAACACAGGGTGTCCCCAAAGTCTTAGTATTGGTTTAAGTTTATTCAAAGCTTAGACTACACCAAGACTTTGGGGACACCCTGTGTATACTCTTGGAATATAAGTTATTATAAACTCCTGGCAGTCAGGACATGTCCTCCCCATAATGGCTGACATTTATGGAGCTTTGTACTGTTTTCAAAGTGCTAAACATACATTTTCATATCCCATCCTTATAAGAACCCTTGGAAGGCACTATTCTTACTCCCATTGAACAGATAAAGAAAGTGAGGCTCAGTAGGGTGGGAGATGCCATTGCTGAAAAGTGTCCTTTACCATACAGAAGGTGTTAGAAGTGGTGAAGATTATAGATGCCAGGTTCCAGTGGATTGGCCTATAGAGGAGCAGAACACCTGGCCCAGCCCAATGTCAGTCAGTCTAGCAACAGACCTGCCTGTCCACTGCTCTCCTGGGCTGGTTCCTCATAGGAATGGCATTTCGGTTGGAGTTCAGTTCCTGCCTTTCTCTGTGACTTCCTTCCTCTTCTGGAAACAAAAGAGTTGTACCGGATCACCTCTAATTGCCCTTCCCTTTCTATATCTAAGATCTTAAGGTTAAGGTCACACAGCTATCAAGAGCCTGGGCCAGAATGCAAACGAAGCTTCTCTGAATTCAAACCCAGCTCCTTCTGCAAACATTGACTTAATGAATAAAAATGCCTTACCAAAACTCTTCCAGAAATCTCCTTTTCTAGACAAAGTCCATTCTCGCTTCATTGAGAGAACGACATAGGATAGTTCCTTTTACTGCTTTCAGTTTGGAAAGGATGTAAGAGGAGAGAGTTTTGGGGGTTCATTCAAGCCTTGCCCAGGTTTCAGGAAATTTAGAAATAGGCTTCCTTTGCTGTAAGCTAGATGAAATCACAGGGTGTCCACATCATGAAACTCCCCCATCCACATTGCTTCCATTTCCGACCAATTGAGAGAGTGATAGGATGACCCAAGGTGGACCAAGCTAGCCAGTGGCTGGAGAGGAGGCATGAGAATGCCTTTGGGAAAACTTTAACCATGAGACAGTTAAGCTGTTAAATCAGTAGGTCAGTAAACATTTATTAAGTGTCAGGCACAGTACTGAATCCCAAGGGAATATATATCTCAAGGGGATATAAGGAAAGATGGAAAAATAATCCCTACTGTCAAGGATCTCACAGGTTAACCAGAGTGATATCATGCTTCCTGACCCCATTTGGGGTTTTCTTGGCAAAGATCCTAGGGTGGTTTGCCATTTCCTTCTCCAGCTCATTTTACAGATGAGGAAACTGAGGCAAACAGGGTGAAATGACTTGCCCAGGGTCACAGAGCTGGTAAGTGTCTCAAGCCAGATTTGAATTAAGGAAGATGAGTCTTTCTGACTCTAGGCCCGGCACTCTGCCCACTGTGCTACCTAGCTGCCTGTAACTCAGTACAGACCAACACTGGGTAAATTAAATAGCAAAGGGGTTAGAAGACTCTCAGTGTCTGAAAGCTTTTCTCCATCTTTAACTTGCCTATTTTATTTCTTAATTATTCATATTATTCCAAAATTAATCATTTATATTATTCAAAAAACCTCCCCTTGTTTAATGCTTCCTACCCTGTGGGCTGGCATTCATTGCCAGGACACCTCATTTTCTCTCCTTTGCATGCCTGGCATACGAGTTGAGAAGAATTATACTCGGATTTTTCTCACTGATGTCACTCACACGCCTTCATTTCAGTTTTTGGTGGATAAAATTTCCCATTCCAATGTGGTTATCTCGCATAGTAGGCACTCTCCCACAAATCAGAATACAGTGAGGCAAGAAGCATTCTATACGTTGAAAAAATAATACCCAGAAGCCAAATTGGAAAGCACTAAGTGATGATGATACAAGATATGTCCAAAGGACTCAATGAAAAAATGCTAGCCACCTCCAGAGAGTGAACTGACGAACTCTGAGTGCAAACTGAAGTATAATTTTCTTACTTGATTTAATTGGGTGTTTTTTTCAACATAACTAATATGGAAATATGTTTCGCCCAATTTTACATGTATAATTAATATATTGCTCGACTTCTCAGTGGGTTGGGAAGGGGCAGGAGGGAAGTAGAGAATTTGGAACTCAAAATTTAAAAAAGAAAAGGATGTTTAAAATTAAAAAAAAACTTTTAAAACAATAAAAAGCACTAAATTGACCCAAATCCAAGTGTGAAAATTCAGGTACCCCGTGCTCTTAAGCCTGAGTGAGACATTAAAACATACAAATCTCACATCCCTTTTAAATTTTTTAAATAATTTGTACAGATGAAATGTGAGAGGATATCTTAAGACATACCAGGACCCTTAACAAACTTTTGTAGGAAAAAAAAGAAAATTAAATCAGGCAGTTTTGCTTAAATATGAAAGCACATGGAAACTAACAGTGAAACCAATCATCAGTTTGGTAATGTAACTTATCAAAGATATATCTAACAAAGAAGCAATATCTGTTATTATTACCAATTAAACAAAAATTCCAGGCTTTAGCCTTGAACAGAAAGCCAGTCTCCTTTCATGTGAGCAACAGAATATAAGGTATTGGCCATCCTACAAAGTCTTTATTTAGTATTATTGTCAGAAACGATCAATCAACAATGATTTATCAAATGTCCACTATATATCAGGCACATACAAAGTCAAGCGCTCGAGAAAAATAATGCTAAAGAAAAAAAGGCTTTCTGGGTTGAGAGATGGTAAAAAAAAAAAATGCACCTATTTATTATTTATCTGATCAAGTAAATACTCACAGTCCAAAGCCAGGTGCAGAGCTGGAAAGCAAGGTCTTCTCTGCTGGGAATCCACAGTAGAAGTGAAACCTATGTTAGGCAGGGGAAGGTATAAATATGTTTTCAACAGTAATTAAGTGGAACAAAAGATAAGATCCGAGGCACTCGGTGGCCAGGAGTTTCAGAGTGTGTTTGTGGCCTCCAGGAAAAAAGCAGCCTTCTAAAAAGAGAGATGTGTTCATTTCCACATTTTGAGCCTTCCTGAGGTTTTGTTAGGCAGTGGGCAGAGATAAAGGAAGTTCCGTTTTGCAACCTAATTTGTATGCCACAACTGATAGGGTTTATCCAAATTTTTCTACTTCTCCAGTATCTGCATAGCAAATGGGTTACCATATACCATGGGTATAGAAAATCAGAGAATCACATCAATATGTTTTGCCACTGTCACTTTTTTTTCTTTTTTAGTATATACAAATGCCATTGTACTTTACATGACATGAAAATGTCCTGAAGCAAAGGGAGAAATCAGTCATGGGGCAGACTGGAGGACCATTCCCTTGTCTGTATGACCTAGAACCTCCCTGGGTCTCAGTTTCTTCCCCTGTAAAATAGAAGACTCAAGATGTCCGGAAATTCTTTAAGTCCTAGGTCCATGATCCTCTGATCCCTCTACTACGTCTGAGAGGTAAATCTAAGAAAGAGGGGAGGGAAGGTTTTGTTTTCAAAAGTCGTCCAGCATGGTTCTGGTGAGAGAGCCCAACCCAGGAGCCATCTCCCTGGGCTGGAGTTGTGGAAGGACACTTATTTGTGGAGTGATTTGTCCCCTCTGCCAAAGCTTCCCAACACCTGAGGTACCCCTCAGGTAACAGAGTGTCTGAAAGCCCTACTTCCTTCATCCTTCCCAGAAGCACACCATCACCCCATCACTGTCTATACTAAGCTCACACATAGCAGCCATACATCAACACTGCCACCAAAGACATATGGGAAATTTGGCCTTGCAGAAAGATGCCCCTGACCCAACTCATTTTTGGGGAAGATGCCGATAACTGGGCCCCTGAATATCAGTGGCTACTCCAACCACTAGCTTCAAGCCCAGCTTTTGGGGGCCACAAGGGACAGAACTGAAAACAGGACCTGCCACCATCCCAAGGGTGGGTCTAAAGCCTCTCTGGAATGAATATGAGTCACTCACTTGAAAATGGAATTAAGTTAAAGGTCTAGGAACCTGGAATGTTGGTGCCCTTTATTTTAGGCCCAGCAGCATTTTCTCCTGCTTCCATTTTGTGATAGAAAGTGAAAATGGTAGAGCAGAGTAGCGCAGGTCAGGACGACCCCTGCTCCTCCAGGGAAACTTTGGGTCATAGAGTTTGTCATAACTACTGTGGTTTAAAAAAGAGGACTGGGCCTTCTTTCTCCTCCCACCCCCACACCAGTGCAGTTGCTGGGAATCTTCCAGGAAATTAAATTGCTTATTTTGTAGTAATTGGTAACAGATTTAACATCTTAGCTTAGCAGGGAGAGTTTCCAGCTGGACTCTGGCCTGTGAACAATGAATGATAAACACTGAATCAAACTTAATAGCAGCATTCAGAAAAAAAAGTCATAAAGGGTAAAACAAAGAAGATAAAACATCAGTTATACCTAAGGGGGAAGGATATCACATCACAACCTGTAATGCAAGTTTCCATTTTGACCTGATATATAATTTAAGCTATTAAAATTTGTATAATATTTACAAATGAAATAATCTGGAACTGCAAAAAAAAAAGCATTTTATTTATCATAATAGAAGTTGCTATTCTGTGCTGTGGTGTGATTAAAAATTAACTTTTGTATCTTATCTCCTTATTGATATATATATATATATATACATATACATATATAATTTTTTTTTTGTCTTGGAGATGGGGTGGGCAGCATTGTCTCTACTGATAGTTTGGATTCAGAGGAGATGAGGCTATTTGGAATTCTGTAGATCAGAGGGAAATGTTAATTAGTCATTCCTCGGGCTTCCTAAGCCTTTTCCATAATGATGATGATGGTGACAATGATGATAATAATAGCAACCATTTATGTACTCTCTTAAGGTTTGTGAAGCACTTTATAAGGATCATTTAATTTTATGCTCACAACTCTGAGAGGTCGATGCAATTACTATACAAATGAGAAAACTGAGGTTTAGTGACTTGCCCAGAGTATCACAGCTATTAATAATAATAACTATTAATAATAATAATTCACACATATAAAGCTTTAAAGTTTGCAAAGTACTTTAAAAATATCTCATTTTGTGCTCACAGCAACTCTGAGAGGTAGATTGTAATTATTATTTCCATTATACAAATGAGGAAACTGAGGATAAGTGACTTGCCCAGGGTATCACAGCTAGTAAGCATCCAAGGCTGGATTTGAACTCCTGAAAACGAATTCCGGATTCCAGGTCCGGGGCTCCATTTAATGCGCCTGGACTCCTCTGAGAGTAGCAGGTTCTGTCTTTTGTGTGTGTGTGTGTGTGTGTGTGTGTGTGTGTGTGTGTGTGTGTGT